GCTCACACACAACTTGTCTTCACCAAATCGCTCACACACAGCTTGTCATCACACAACTTGTCCACACACAACTTGTCCACACACAACTTGTCATCACACAACTTGCTCACACACAACATGTCCTCACCAAATCGCTCACACACACAACAACTTGTCCTCCCACAACTTGTCCACACACAACTTCTACGTGCATTCTGCGTGGCAGGCGTGTCACTTATGGCACTGGGCTGGCTCTGGTGGCGCGCTTGGTTCCCAGTTGACGCCGTGGACGCCGCCGCTGTTTGCGTGGCAGGCGTGGTACTTGGAGACATGTACGTGCATTCTGCGTGGCAGATGAGGCGCTTGGAGACATGTACGTGCATTCTGCATGGCAGGCGTGGCACTTATGGCACTGGGCTGGCTCTGGTGGCGCGCTTGGTTCCCAGTTGACGCCGTGGACGCCGCCGGTGTTTGCGTGGCAGGCGTGGTACTTAGCGACACGTGCGTGCATTCTGCGTGGCAGGTGCGGCACTTGGTGGAATGGACCTCCACTTTGCGTGGCAGGCGTGGCACTTATTATGGCACTGGGCTGGCTCTGGTGGCGCGCTTGGTTCCCAGTTGACGCCGTGGACGCCGCCGCTGTTTGCGTGGTAGGCGTGGCCCTTGGCGACATGGACCGTCACTTTGCGTGGCAGGCGTGGCACTTGGCGACCATGGACCTCCACTTTGCGTGGCAGGCGTGGCACTTGGAGACATCTACCTTCGTTTTGCGTGGCAGGTGTGGCGCTTGGTGACATCGACCTCCTTTCACGAACCATCTTTCACACACCACTTTGTCACCCACCATCTTTGACAAACCATCTTTCACACACCACTTTGTCACCCACCATCTTTGACACACCACTTTGTCACACACCATCTTTCACACACCATCTTTGACACACTATCTTTCACACACCATCTTTGTCACGCACACCATCTTTCACACACCACCTTTCACATACCATCTTTCACGCCCACCTTTGTCACACACCATCTTTCACACACCACCTTTCACACAGCACTTTGTCACCCACCATCTTTGACACACCATCTTTCACACCATCTTTCACACCACTTTGTCACACACCTTCTTTCACCACACCATCCTTCACACGCCATCTCTCACACACCATCTTTGACACACCATCTTTCACACCACTTTGTCACACACTTTCTTTCACCACACCATCCTTCACACGCCATCTCTCACACACCATCTTTGACACACCATCCTTCACCACACCATCCTTCACACACCACTTTGTCACACACCATCTTTCACCACACCACCTTTCACACAGCACTTTGTCACCAACCATCTTTCACCACACCATCTTTCACACACCACTTCACTTTGTCACCCACCATCTTTCGTCACAGCATCTTTCACACACCACTTTGTCACACACCATCTTTCACACACAACTTTGTCACACGCTCTCTTTCACACAACTTTCACACACACCATCTTCCACACACAACTTTATCAACTTTGTAGCACACACACAGTTTTGTTTTACTTCTCGGTCCTCCACCACCTCCTTTGTCTTTCCTTTCTTCCCCGTCCCCGCTACAACATTTGGTGCTCATTATTGGAAGAAGTTGCCATGTGGGGTTATCTGGTCCTGTAATTCATAGGGTCGGTGGGTGTCGCCTCCGCAGAAGGTGCAATAGGGCTGGCATGATTTTGGTCAACATCTTTCTCTGTAGTTGATGTAGCACCAAATTTTGCCAGCACTTTTGCCATCAACTTACCACCCCATTTGCCGCCAAAAAGTCTCTCACACCCTTTCTGTCAACATGTGTCATGTACACTCAACGCCTTTTTGTGACTGAAGGTGTTTGCAACCTTTTCTGCCCAAAAAACTGCCATCAAATTTTGACACCTCTGCTGCCGCCAAAATGTGATTGCTAAACTTCCGGCTCAATTTTTGCCATGCAAAGTTGCCACCCCTTTTGCCACCAAAATACGGTTGCCACCATTTTTGCCATCACATTCTGCCATCAAACTTGCCACCAACGCTTCATTGCCACTGAAACTGCCACCCACATTGCCATATCTAACTGCCACCGCCACCGAACTTGCCACCAAACTTGCCACCTTAAACTGCCACGAACCTCTGGCATAAGATAGAGCCATATGAAAGCATACCTTTTAAATCTTAGATAAATCATAACCATGAAACTCTGCTGCAAGGTCAATCAGCTCTTTTAAGGGCTCACACAGCTCCATCACGACCCATTGATCTCCATCCTTGATCAACGTTGTCCTGAATTTCCTTCCAGACATGGTTGGGCAAGCAAGTGTCGGGTCTTGGTAACAACTTCCATAGTGCTTTCCTGAACCAACACCTTCTGGGTTAAGATGCCAACCAACACGCATGTCATGAAGCCAGTCAAAAACTTCTGCACGAACTGCTCTGATGCAAAAGGGATCCAACACCTCTGGCTCATTTCTCATCATACGTACCCATCCACGTACTGACATTGACTTGTTTTGCAACTCTATGGGTATGGAAATTCCAGAACCATGTGTGAGTGTTTGCTCAATGCCATTGATACTCCATCCATTCTCCAGCAAATGACCAAAGCAAAGAATTGGCTGTGTTATCTGATCGCTCAAAGCCACCGTTTCCTTCAGGATGATTGCACGTCCTTGCATATCCATGAGATGCAGCTCAACATCCCTCATGCCATGTAAAGGAATCTGTTTTCCTTGGGCATCTCTCAAACATGTTTGCATGTCAGCTGAAGGAACACCAAGCTCTGCCATACACGCTGGAAAAACTGAGGCATCGGCACCTGAATCCAAAAGTGTGCTATGCATCTGGGTATGTTCATCAACACTTTCCAACATCGCACGCACTGAAAGACATGTTTCAACATCAAATTCAGTCGCATCGGGCTCATCACCGATGTAGCACTGCATAGTTCGAATTGCCCCATCAAAGCAACTTGAATCACCGACAGGACTTCGAAAGTCAAACACTAGCTCATCATGTTTTGAAACATCTGAGACATGTGCATCTGCAAATTGAATTCTTGCAACACGACCATGCTGAGGGGCAACAGGTACCTGTGAACTTGTTGTCGAAGATGGTGAGCCAGCTGCCACTGAAGTCTGCTGGCTAGGCTGTGCACTAACTGAAACCTCATTTTGAACCTATCGCACTGAAGTTCCCCAGCAATCACGAGCGTAGTGGCCATACTTACCACACTTATGCCAAGTGACGTCTGGTCTGTTGCCTTTGCCTTTCCCTGAAAAGCTTTGCTTCCCACTGCTTTTGCCGCTTGAATCACCTTTCTGCTGCTTACCTTTTGGTCCACTCTTACAATCTTTTGTCTTGGTCTTTCCTTTTCCTTTTCCTTTCTGACTTTGATTTCCTTTTGAAGAACCACCTTTTCCCTTTCCTTTGTCACCCTTTTTACCACCACTGCTCCAGTTGCGTCCATCTGCATAGACACGATCAACTTCCATAGGCGTTGAACCTGAAGCATCATCAAAGACCAGGTTGCTCCATTTCTGTTGACTTCTGTCCCAACGTAGAACTTGTTCACGCAGCGCTTTGAATGTTGTAGATTCTTGGATTGCTAAGTTCAAATGAGTCCTCAACTGGCCAGAAACACACTTCAGCAAAATCGCCTGCTGAAGCTGGTCAGGGATGCTTGACCCTGCACGTCGAGTTTCTTCCAACGCTTCCTCCAACTTCATCAACTGCGGTTGCAAAAGTTGGTTCATGTTGAACGTAGGCCAATTTGTAAGGGCTCCCATCAATGCCAAGCCTCTGTTATTGCTAGAGGGCCTCAAATTCAGAATTAACTGCCTGAGCGCCTCGAACCCATCAGCTTGTTTCACTGATCTCACCACATTCAAACTGCGGTTTCTGCACAACGACGCTAAAAGGCCGTAAAGTTTGGCTCCACGTTGTCTCGTCTCAGAGCTTGCTGTGGACATATTTAAGGGTGATGTAGGGGTATCCACAAGTGACTGGATTTCTGATTCAAAACCAGCATCAATGGTGTTTAGAAACTGCGTCAACATCCAAAGCCAGTCTCGAAACATGCGGATCTCGTCCTCTACCGTCTTCCCATCTAGTAATGGGGGCTTGTTCACAAGCTTTGACCAATCTGTTGATCCCTGTGGTGATCCTGTAGGACTTCCAGAAGCACTAGCTGTTGTAACCTGTGGGCTACTCGACTGCAGGGCACTTTGCCTTGCCTGGACAGCAGCTGTAGCTATTTTAGTAGCCTCTGCCACTTCAAGCAAGGCTGCTTGAAATATCGCCGGGTTGAATTCCTGCGCCATACCTTCAACTTCAAGTGACCGTCTCTTCAAACTCCGTTTCCAAGCAAGTCTCAAATCCAAGCTTGTATCCCAAATGAAATCACCTGGAAAATTTTACACCAACGCCAGTCAAACCTGTAAAAATGTCACCCACCAGAAATTGTACCACGCCAAAATCTGAGGTATTGACAGAAACAGTATGCAGACTGTTCAATGTCCAGTGCAAAACCAGGTATTCAATCTTTCACGCAAATCTCAAGGTCACCAAATTTGAACACAAACGAAAAGTTGGCAGTGCTGTGAAGATGCGCGCCACAAGCGCTGACCATAAACTATCAACAAATGGATGGATCATGGAAACGCCTCAAGACAGCGCAAAAACAAACCAGAAATCTTAGGCACAGCAACGGTGGCGTGCCTAAGCATCTGGTGGCCCGTCAGAACAGAGGGTGCCGCGGCAACCCCATTCCCACACTGGGCCAAAGAAATGGCAAAAATCCCCACCGACTGGAAAAGCAGACGCACAAGTTGGGGGATCGCCTAGGCCGTGAAAGGAAATGATGGAAAAACGGCCGTATAGCAAAGGCAGCATCAAGGCCGGGCTCCACTGACACAAGGAGAACATGTTTGACATGTCATCGAGGTGTGCAGGAAGCCCTTCAGAAAAAGAAGGCTCTCACTTGGCTGGCATCGCTCAGGGCTCAGGTTGCACAAGAAAGTCCGCCGCCGAGGCAGAGGCCAGTCCAGCACGCCGTCGAAGCACAGCACGGGCGCGGTGGCAACGTGCAACCACACACAACTCCTGCAAGAGCTTGCCATGTACCTGGGACACGTCCTGTCCAGTCCGGACAGCAACGGACCCTGAGACGTGGCGTAGGAATTTGGCGGCTTCTCTCTCCCATGCCCCTGCGCACTCAAGGACCAGAGGCTTGAAGCTCAGGCCTTGGCGGGCGCAGACGGCAGCAGTGTCCAAGTGGGTCCACTTCACCTGAGCATAAGATGCTGCAGCCGCCGCCGGAGTGTTGCTCGCCTCCGTCAAGCTCTCCGCCCGCAATGGCGCCGTCACGGCAAGGTCAAGGGCGGTTGGAGAGCCAGCATAGGTCGGCAAGAAAATGTCGGCAGGGCGTCGCCCAGCCACGCTATCATCAGGTCGGTGTGGCAGAAGGAGTCCGGGTTTTTCCTTCTCGGGCTTGAGGCCAGCAACGTCGAGCCACCAGTGGAGAAGGTCTCGGAGAGCGTTGTGACGCTGCACCCGTTCCCCCCCCAGCCACGCAAACAGCGGCATGGTAGGAGAAGCGGTCAAGCACAGAGTCGCATTGCGGGCACCAGCCATCTTGGAGAGCTTCGGTCATGCCCAGTCTTTGGCCAAGTTCCGTGGTGAACAGAGCAGGTTCGATCCGGGTGCGACCGCCAGGCAAAGCGGCCAGGAAAGCTCGGGCTCCCGGCTCAGCCTCAGACAAGAGGACTGCACGTCCAGCAACCGTGGAGGAGGCAAGCTGCCGCTCCCAGGAGGCGATGTCCAGCTTCAGCGTCAATGCTTTTTGCCTCAAGCTGAATGCAGTTTCCAGGGTGAGGGGGCTCGCCGTGCCAAGCACTTGATTGTAGGTGGACAAAGCTGAAGCGGCATGGCTGTCAGCGATTGCAGCGTAGTGTGGATCAAGCTGCGTGCAAGCAACAGAGCACCCACCAACCGAAGCAAGGTATGCAGCAGCGCTGTCCCGCACCGTGCTTCGCAACCCCAGGCCGCCGTGCCCAAGCCCTCTTGTAGCTTGTTCCCATTGAGCTGCATCTGGATGCAAGCCGGTCAAAGTTTCGAAGCAGGTCCGGACAAGATCGTCGAAGTGCCTCAAAGCACGACCTTGCGGGCCAGGCGCGGCGCATCGAAGATTGTGGGCTAGGCGGGAATGCCCAGCGGCTCGGCGCAACAGCCGGAGCCCAATCTGCGGGTCCTCCAAGTCGGCGATGCCATCGAGCAGCCGCTCGGCGGCTTCCACTCGGCCAACGGTGTGGGCAGCGCAGAAAGCATCATCGCCAATGGGGGCGCCCAAGAGCTCAAAGTTGCGCATGACCCGGCTGGCCCCCGTCGCTGTATACAGCAATGCCGCTGGGAAGTGGCCATCAAGGTCGGCCGGCGACGTCGACCCCACCGCAATCACTTCGGACTTGTGCAAATTCAGGGTGAGGCCCAGCGAGGCAGCCCGGTGTTGAAGGTGGGTCAAAGCTGCGGATACTGCAGCGATGTCACCTGCAAGGAGCCCATCGTCGAGGTAGAACACCGCCAAGTCAACCCCTTGTTGGAGCTCCTCTGCGAGAGCTTGGATGGCAAGCGCAAAGAAGAGGGGACCAAGTGGATCTCCTTGTTGCACACCGCCCGCCGAGGTCAATGTGGAGGACCCAAAACGAAGGCAAGTGTGGCCCCCATAGCACCACCAAGCCCAGCGCGTGAGGCCGGGGAAGCGGGCCTGCACCGCCTGCAGCACGGCAGCGCGGCTGATAGTGTTGAAGGCATTGTGGAAGTCGAGTTTCACAACCGCTTTCCCGGCACTATTGCCGTGTCTGTGAACCCACGCACGGGCAGTGTGCACCGCAGTTTCGGCCCCTGCCGGCACGCAAACCCCAACTTGAGCTGGCCAAAGGGAAGTGCGCACTTCGTCCCGGATCTGGCGGAGGAGGCACTTCCCGACAAGGCGGCGAAGGATCTCCCCAATGGCGATCGGCCTAACGCCGCCGCTAGGCTTGGGCACCGCGACAAGGCCGGCACCTGCTAAACCAACTGCCACGCTTGCAGGGGCATGACCACGCGCCAGCAGCAGGACGACTTGGGTGAGGGCGTGGATGAAGCAGTCTGTGTCTCCAGGCGAGCTTGCATCCAGAAGATGCTGGGCCCGGAGGCCGGTGGGCCCTGGCGATGTGCCGGCCGGGAAGCTGCGGAGGGCGGCTGCAACCGTCTCAGGTGTGATGTCAGCACAGGGCGGCATCTGTTGGGGATCTGGTGGTTGGAGATGTGGCTGTTGTGGGTGGAGGCACTTGAGGGCATCCACTGTTGCTGGGGTCTCGGGGCAAAGCCCTTCCGCCAGCAGGGCAGCACAGGCTTTGCCATCCCAGCCCTCACGTGCTAGCCCTGTGGCAAGTTCCCGCCGCTGTTGCGGAGTACGGCTCTGGCGCCGGGGTTTGGGTGGAGAGTGCCGGCTGGTCCACAGAGCCATCCGCTCCCCTTCGTGCCATCGGGCCAGGCGGTCCAATGTGTAGGCCGCGAGGGCCTTGTGATGTTTTTTGCCCCCGCACGGTGGCGCATCCAAGACTGCTTGGGGCAGCATGAGCAATTGCTTCCATGCCGCCTCTGTGTTGTGGTGGTGTGCGAGCGCCAAGGCACGGGTGAGGGCTTTGCTCCACGAGTGTCGGGCAGCGTGCGGGACTCGTCGGAGAGTTGGAGTGTTGCTGCCATGGATCTCGAGGATGGAAGGGAGGCTATTTGTTCCTGGCTCAGTGTCTTGCATGTGCCCGGCCATGGCTGCGCGGGCTTCAGGTCGGCAAGTGGGGTGGATCCCAAATCGACAAGCGACACTAAGGCCACAGACAGCGCACCGCTGGCGATTGTGTTGGGCCAGCCAAGCTGCAGGTACGTCGCCTGAGAGGGAACCAGCCATGTGTGCATCAATATGGCTCTGCATGGTGTGGACCGAGCGCCAGCCTCGTGCCCGTAAAGGGTCGGCGCACGGGCAAGTGGAAACGGGACAAAAGACTCGGGTGTCCACCTGCATCGGCGCTTGCCCTCGGGGAGGAGATCTTTCTCGTACGTGTTGGCGTTCACCTCCCACTGGGGTCCCGGAGTGGGGGCCTGGATGAGATGCCTCACCAAACCGGACACCATGGGCTGGCCAGCCATGCCAGCGTGGATGACGAGTTGGCAGCCAGTCCCTGCGGCGAGGCAAGGTGGTCAAAGGTGGTCAAAGCCCGGCGGTGCTTGCGACCAATCCGCTCGAGCAGCCAGGAACTGCATGGGGAAGCTCTTGTGTCGTCCACTGAAGGTTGCTCTGGGCCTCCCCATGCAAGCCCGGCGGGGCCACGAGCTGCGCCTAGGAACGCCGCCCAGTAGAGGAGGAAGCCAACGACCGAGGCCATGCGCGCCCTGAAAGCAGCTGCCGCGAGGGCACACCTGGCCGAGGCGGAACACCAGAGGTGCTCACACGTGGGCCCGGCTGCACGGCGCAGGTGCGCCCCCCACGGCAACTGCCCAGCAGGGGCCACTGAGAACTGGTATTGATCTCTCCATGAATCTTGAGCCATTCCTTGAGCCAAATTTGAAAATCCACAAATCAGCTCTGCTCCAGTCCAGAAAGCCACCAAAGTCAGCAGCAAGCGCTATGGCACAGCACCAAGCGCCAACGGTGCACAGCAATGCTTGCAGGTAGGAAGCACAAAGTGCTCCGCTACATGCGAAGCGGGCAGCAACACTATTTTGAACCTCAGGGGCCTGAAGTATGCACATCAATTTATGTGCTATGGATGAATCTTTGTACACTTCTCGTTTCGATTTGTGTGTGTCATCCACTGGCGTTTGTCTGGACTCAACCTGAATGCATACCTGCACAGCAATGTTTCCAGACTGTCTCTCAAAGTAAATGGTGAAGTGAAAATATTTCTCAAAGAGGAAACCAAGCCAAGCAGCAGCTGCAAGCAAGAGCAAGGAGACAGAAGAGGAGACAAAGGGCGAGTAAGGGAGACAGAGGGAGGACAAAAATGACAAAGGGACACAAGCTTGGCAAACAAGGTGGCGGTGACAAATTTGAGCGGGCACAGACTGTTTGAGACGTAGGAACCGTGATAGCCAAAGATCTCAAAAGGCTAAAACAGCCTGGGGAAGAGAAAGCAAAACCATGGGCAAAGGAACCACCAGGCATGGGGCAGCAGGTCAAGATGACCTGTGTTCGAGTGACTATATGTGAGCCCCAAACTGAAGCAAAACACAGTTCAAACACATTTTTTAACGTATTAAACGCGTTACCAATTTCAAAACTCACAAGTCACCACCTAAACGCCACGACTGCAACGACTTCCGAAAATTTGTCTGCCAACTTAAATCCGGGAAAAATATACACCTGCCACGACTGTCATCTTTGGGAGTACAGTGGCTAAGCCCCCACAAAGATATGAGAGGTAGTCATCGTGTGCCTATGCGAAATGCCACAAAAATCATCAGCAAGTTAAAGTCTTAGGCGCTGCCCATGTGGGCCTTTCCCCATAGGCACGCCACGATTTGGCACAAGATCTTGTCATCGGCACTTGTTACATCGACCCAGTAATTAGTGAACTATCAAGTTGCATTCAATTGGGATTCCCGCCCCCCCCAACGCCTTGCTGAAACTGAACAGGTTTCAGCTAGCAGAAAATCGTTTTCGTTATTTTTGCTCCTTGACATGGTGGTCATATTTTTCCACTATCCGTTCGCCTTTGATGGCGGCTCACAGCGCCATGCACTGAACAAAAATATTCCCTGGGTTTGATCGCAGTACCTGTTGACGCGGCAACATTTGTAGTTTTTTCAATACCTGTTGCCTGTATGATTTGGGCACTTGTGTGCCTGTATCATTCAAACACTTTTCCGTGACCATGGGATGTTGTGATCTTTATACTCTTACTTGTTATTGTCCAAAAAAACTGTTGACTTTCGAACATGAAACCACCCAACCGTAAGTGTTCAATAAGTGTGCAAATGCATTCCTCGCGGCCTTCAGCTCAGCAGCCGTGATGTCCATCAATCCCCCTACATTTTTTTGAGGAAAAAAAACTGGTAGGACATGTAATTTGATGAAATCATTTTTTTCGCCAAAAGGATAAGCACAGCGCCGCGCATTTTTGTTTTCGTCCAGCCCGGGGTGAGCGCTTTGGAATCGAATGTTTGGTCTGCGACCCGTCGCGTGCACAATCATTGGTGCGCTTACAAGGAGAATCACCGTTCAATTGCGCACGTTGTATGTCATGGAATATCCATTAGCACTGCCCAATGATGGGTCCAGCTCAGACGTGCTCAAATTGCAAAGTTTTCTTACGGTACATCGTGTTTCCGCTTGTGGCCCTACGAGTACCTGCTCTGTCTTCGTGGCAGGAAAGGATTCCAGGTTTCGTTTTTATTTTGAGTTTTTTATTGCCCCCACCAAGGCTGACTGCACGCCCTAAATAATTGTTGGTTGCATCGAACCACTTCGGTAGCGGGACGAGAAGCAAAAGCACCCTTTTTGTTTGGGGTTGGCGGCGGTTGTTTTTTGATGTTTTTTGTTGTTTGTGTCTGTGTGTGGTCCCGATCCCTTTTGCGCTTCTGGTTTAGAGGTCTCCTTCCTCCTCGTGTTTTTCTTCCAGTCTGCTTGCACGGCCTGGTGTTTGTTTCTTGGATGGCTGTCTATGGGTTGGGGATGCTCCGTATCCTGGTATCGGTCGCTATTCTGGTGCGTGTGCTCTTAATCCGGCTGGAGGGCATTAGGTCCTCCACTGTAAAATAAAATTGAAGTGTGTAACTCGCACTGGATTGGTTGTTTCATGCCATGTTTGCGGCCTTGGTTGGCATAGTTCTACTGCGATTTGCAAGGCCGTGATTTCAAATCGCAGTGGAATTGACGCTTGAACGGTGGGAATCGCATGAAACCCTGCGTTTTCTGGCACAAAGCGCGTCCCGGCGACGATGTGGGGAACCTCGCTCCGTCGCGTCCTCCACTGTAAAATTGAATTCTGGTGTCGAGAGCCTACGCATTCTTGAAATCAGCAGGCGGGGCTGCACAATGAAAACGCACAAACAACACGAACAAACACATAAAGATATCAAAAAATTGGGGAAACCTCAAAACACACAGGTCCAGAGGCGAGCATGAAGAACAAGAAATCAAAAGAAAAACCGTTTTACGGATAACCTGATCCAGAAAAAAACAAGGAAATGAAGAGAGTAGGGTAGTGAAGAAAGTGGGGACACGAAAAAAACAGAATGTGACGAGAAAGGGAAGTAAAGCGATACGGAAGTGAAGAGTGAAAAAAATTGAGAAGTAAAGAAAATACGGAAGTAAAGAATAAACGCATGAAAAGAGTACGGATGTGAAAAAATAAAAGAAATCAAAAAACTAGAGAAATAAAGAAAGTGCGGAAATGAACGGAGCAGGGAAGTGAAGAAAGGAGGGAGAACATGAGAGAAGGGAAGGTAACGAAAGTAGGCAGGTGACGAGGGTGTGGATGTGAAGACATTGCGGAAGTGACGACAATAATACGGAAGGGAAGACACCAGGGGAGTGAAGAGAGAAGTCTGTCAAAAGAGAAGAATGTGCCAAGCGGAAACAGCCGTTTGCCTATATGTATACGGGTGTATGTATACGGGTGTGTGTGTGTGTGCGTGTGCGTGCGTGTGTGGGCACGATTGCACTCGCACGCGCGTCGGTCCTGCTGTCGAACCTGCGCTTGCCACAATCTGTTATTGAAGAATGTCGCGCAGGTGGCCGCGAGAACAGTGTGTCCCTGCCCAGCAACCCGACGAAAGCACTGTTCGCCCACGAGGACAAGCAGGACGGACGCAAGAGGGTGCAGTGGGAATTCAGTTTGCAACCCCTGCCAAAATTGCGTGGCGTGCATGAGTGAAAAAAAACAGGTTTGGCTGAGCCGAAGAGTGTCAAAAAAACGCACGCAACAACCAACGCCCAATATCACCGCTTAACCGAAACGAAATCTACAAATACGCTGCCACGAAGATTTTGCAGGGTGTGGGTCGGCGTGCGTGCGCCCTGTAGCCAGGATACCTCACCCCAGTTTCCTTGGGGAAATTGGGCCCTGATTTTTTGTCATCCTGCAAATCTTCAATGCGCGCAAATCTCCCATGAATTTGTCCATCGGTTCATATCGGTTCCGAATTGTGTTCATGAAACATGCAAATGCCCAGGTCCACTGCTCCTGCCGTAAGCCGGCCTACAGCGCAACGCGTGTATTTTTTGATTTGGCAAAATCAGTTTGTCCACGGAACTGGAAAAGAAACACACTAAATTTATAACATGTTCTACCATGATTCAGTGTTTGCGACTGTCACGTGAAATGAAATGCCTACTGCGACAAAAGGACGTAGTGCGCTCGCAAAATTTGTTTCCCTAATGTATCCTAGCAAAATCGAACGCCATGGTGCCGGAACCTACGCGTTTATGCCGCTGCCAACTGCCCCCGCACTTGGTTAGTCGCAGCTGCGATGACCTTGATGAACTTGATGTAAAACCTACAACGCCTTTAAACAAAATGCATGCAACGTTGTTTTGCTTGTGACGTGTAAAATGTATTAAACTGTAGCCCGAGTCTAGCTACAATGTCAAACGCCGTTTGTGTTCGTGATTTTTACCGGGGCAGCGTTTGGCACTAATTCATTCGTCTTAACGTAGGCCATTACTATGGCGAACGGGGATTCGACACTTTCGTTGGCAACGGCAGCGGGCTTTCCCTCGCGCCAGGGGACAGTAGCACGGCCCCAACACCAAGTGCAGCAAAACAACATTGTTGAGGAGCCTCCTGCAACAAGAATGCTGGTTGGGGGGTGGTGTCCGGAGTTTTCTTCATGCAGCGTTTGCTCAAGGCTCCCTAACCTTTCACGCGTTAACCACAGGGGTACGTTGGATGACCTTTGCAGGGGACATTGGCAACCACTGGGCCCAAGGGGCACTTGCCATTGCAACATCTGAGAATAGTGTACCCCTGAACGTTTTCCCTAATTGAATGGCTATTTGGCAGACACATCCATAGGTAATGGCTTTGTAGTTGTACATAACCACACGACTCCCATCGCTTTACGTGGGCATGAAGGCGCGTCAGTCGCTCGAAGGGATTTACATGAAACTACGTCGAACGAAACTCCTTCGCTTCCCCTTGCAAAAAAAAAAAAACGTTTCTTCTTTTCTTCTTTCGGTGGGGCTGCCCGCCGTTGCATAATATGCTGTTGTGCTTGGAACCATTTGTGTAAGGAAGGAAGGAACAGGGAAGGAAGGTGAAAGGAAGAGAGGGGAGGAAGATGAAAGGAAAGGGAAAGGCAGAAAAGCAATAAGAGAGGAAGAGAGGAAGAGAGGAAGAGAGGAAGAGGAAACTTTCAACGCGTGCTCGGCCAAACAAACTCACTATGCAGGAATTCAAGACCAAGGACACGTAAACGTCACTGGAGGTTTGGTGTGTTTGGTCTGAGGGATGTGAATGGATATGAGTCATCAGATTTGACATTCGATCAACAGAACTATAATGAAAAACGGGCCTGAGGCACTTGATGTCCCTCGCTTCCACCGCACAAGATCAAACAACTAGAAGTCTGACTATAGATTTCAAATACACTTGCGACGCAAGTAGAACGCCAGCAGAGCACTTTGGCATGCGGCTCTTCAGATTCTTTCCCTACCCTCAATCTATAGATTTGAATTAGTTTTCCTACCTTCGGCATGTCTTCAAGCCACAGTCTCTGTCCAACTCACTGTCAGGACACTCGCTTCGCGCCGAGTTTTTGATGGCTGCGTTGGCTTGACGTTCGCTAAAATTGTCCAACGTTCCACTCTTCTTTCTACGTAGTTGTGCCTTTGTGCTGTTCTGCTAGGGTCTGCCGGCGCTGTGACGATGAGGATCATGACGGAAGGTTTTGCCCGACACTTGGGTCGCTGTGCAAGTTGCGGAACATCGGAAGCAAGGTGCATCTGGCGCATGGCCGCTTTGCAACAGATTGGGGTCATCCAAAAGACAAGGAAAATATCGTCCAAATAGCTAAAACTGTAGGGATTTACTTGTCTAGCTGTTTCTGGACATCTATACAGTCTTTAATGACATGTCATCAGTTTCAGGATGCGAAGGACATTCATCTTCCCTTGCAGTGCTTCAGATTTTTCGGCGTCGTTTCGTCACCAAGTCTACGTTGAGTTTGCCTCTGGTAATGTGATTAATGTGGCATGGCAACAGAAAATGAATGGCAAAATCCAACTTATGGAATTCAAGGAAAATCATTTTATGCATCGCGAATGTTCCAACGTCAGACGTTTCCAGACTAGATCGCAGGGTACGTTTCGAGTTGAATCCGGCTTTATACTGACACAGTGCTCTGGACACGCAGCGATTCTCTTGACGCTTCCGGGGCCGCCACGAAGTGATGCACTTTTTTGATGGCAAATGATGGCAACTAGTCATCATTCGTCTGCGCTGGAGTCGACTTATGTCATATTGTGTGTAAAATTGATTCTGAAGTGACAAATAAAAAGCAAAGATCCTTCATCGCAAAGCTCAGTCTTCACCGGAACAAGTCCAAGTCAACTCCAGAAGATGGCTGTTATAAAACTTCAGCACTTGATCCCCAGCGAATTCAACCATCATCGAGTTCGCAAAAAAGGGGGCCGCATGAAGGTCCGCCACCGACTGGAGGTCAGCAACAGCTAAGCTGTTAGCCCAACGGAGGATGCCTAAATTCGACCAATTTTACCATAAAAATATGGGTAGCTGAACCACTTGACCCATCATGAGATGATGAACCATTGGGTAGCTCATGGCTCATGACCACACAAGGATCATCAAGGATCATGGCAATCATGGTCTCTTCAAAAAACATCGGAGAGTCGGTTGCTTCTTTGTCTCGCCATGCGGTCAGCGGGCAGAGTCATGCCTCACCTTTAGGTGGCCATGACACGTCCAGCGTGGCAGATGATTCTGGATGGAGTTTGACGATGGTACGAACATCAAAAAAAGCTATGGTATCTATGGTGTCTATGGTCATGAGCTGCTTATCACCACTGAAAACAAGCACTTATCACCCAAAATCGGTTTTGAAGACATGTTCGTATTGGATGTTGTAGCTGATGAACAGCTATGTTTCTGGGGCCTACAGCTCCCTGCAACTGTGGGGGTCATTGCTGTAGCTGACTGTAGCTCCAACTGACAGAAACACCCAGCACACAATCTGGCACCGGCGCCTCAAAAATTAGCAAAAGCTCACGTGTTCACGTGATATCAGCTAATTGCCGGCGGAAGATATTTTGTTGGCTTCTCCTCCCCGATATTGATTCATATTGATTCCAAATCTGTTCATCTTCCCATCTTTGGCACAATGTTTCAAGCAGTTTCCCAACTGGGACCGACCTGGACCGGTTCAGTAGAGCCTGGGACATCCCTTGTGCATCCCTTGGCAGCCCAATGGGACTTTGAAGCTGCGCTTAATGGCCATCTCCTGCAAATGGGTGAGCCACACGCATGGACCTCAGCGCTTCCATGGTGATTGACCAAAAAGGCTGCAAAAAATGGAGGTTTGATATGGTTTAATTAATACTAAAACCCATAGCCCGACAAAACATGGGGGCTTGACCATCAAAAATGCTGAGTTCATCATGCAACATGTCGGATTAGCCACGAAGAAATCCCATCTGCCAGTCGACCGTCTTAGAACCACAATTGATGTTGACCCGTGTTTGAGTTGTTGCGGGATCACGGCCCTAAAGTATCACATGTCCAATGGTAAGTTGTACACCCTTTATGGTTCCATATGAATGGGTTCCTCTCCCATACTGGGGAAGGACTGTGCCAGCACAAATGTTCAGGGTCGGGAAAGAAAGCAAAACTGAGAAACAACATGAACAACAATAATATAGAATTATAACGATGATAGTTAAGAATGCTAAAGATAGTTAAGAATAGCAAAAATCAAGAACGGCTAATGACTCGTGTCTATTTATGATCTTTGTAGGGGCTATAGGGGTCAAAACCCATTTGCTCTTTGGCAAACAACCATAGCAATGGAAATCCTGGGGGAAGTAAAAGAGAAACAAAATTCCTTTTTCCGGACAAAACGTTCATTCTTCTGGTTAGGATATCCATTCTTGTGAAGAATAATAGGGCTTGCCACATCTTGTAACCCCCAATTTTTACCGAATATATAAACAAACACCGAAAATTCGCTGAAGAAAGGCTGCGGCACGTTCTTTTTCCACGGGAGGTCCCTCAGCATCCTCCGGATCTGAGAGCGCCCTGATACCCAGGGCCTTTACAAATGCACCCGCGCTGTCATAGCCCACCACCTTCTCCTTGGGCGTTGGTAACTGGAGGAACCCTATCCCGAAATGCCCCGAAAAACGAAATGCCCTCAGAAACCCAGATGTGCTATTATTGGGATCGGAGGGATTAATTCCATTGGATTCTGGAGTTCAAAAAGACTTGTTGATTCTTTAAGAAAAGCTCCAATTCTCATACCTCCCGATAGGTTTGAAAAGAATACCGATCCTACTGGGCTTACCCCGCTTGATTTTCAATCGAAAGGCCACCAACAACCAACTTGAATTTTTTTGAAGTGTTCCAAAATAATTACATGGGAGAACCGAAAAAATAAGAACTTGGAAGAGGTTGTGCAAGCCAAAGGCCTATTAAAATTTCGGAAACACAGTGTATCCCGACCAAAAATCCCCGCATCCCACATGACATACCCACACGTCACCATTGCGTTAAGCCTTCCGACCCCCATCCCCATAGCATCCCCATGATCTTGTTGGTTTGACCCCCCCTCATTGATACATCATCTATTATCGCTTCACACTCCATTTTTTTCATTTTTCGTGTTTAAACCTGAATTTCAATCATGTTTCATGTTTTATCCATCATTTTCCGCGGTTAAATCCCCTTTCAGCCCCCTTCTTTCTTAACGGCAGCCCATCGTCCCCTGCCCAGGGGCCCGGTTGATGCGCACACCCGACTTATCCAACTTCAAGGAGAAGCTGCCGGGGACGTCCTCAGAGCTGCGGAGGGGTCCCTCCAGCAAGATGCGCACGCTGTTGCCCAGGTGAGCAATGTCCGACAGATTGATGCATAAGGAAAGGTCCAGGTGGAACCTAGGACCAAATGCCAAAATGATCCAAATGGAAGGTGAAGTCTTGGAGGCATGGGGGTATAGACAGCATTCATATCTGCATGTTATGTATATATGTATATATATATATATATGTACACACATACATAAATATATATATATATACACATATACATATTATATATATATATACGTATATATATATATATACATATATATATACAGTTATATACATAATAATATGTACGTGTAAACGTACACTACATAAATATGTGTGTGTGTGTGGTTGTTCAACGAGTGATTCAGCAACAACCAAAGGATAACCAACAGCCGAGTATTGGGCAAATTATTCCATACTGCATGGATGGTTCACACCTCAAAATGCTCAAGCTCTGTTGGCTGGGGGCTCTTAAATCTGAAACCCAATCACATGTGATGCTCTCGGAGAGTTGCCAATTGCTCAAGTACTGTTTAACTCCCAAACTCCATTTCTTGGTGAATTTAAAAACTGGGACACCAAGTTCATTTTGTCTGCATCGTTTTTTCGAGTAATCTCAAAAGGCTGCTAATGGTGGCAGCCAATACATGCGCTGGTGACACGAGTACCTACAATGATGGCATCAGACCCTATTGATGTTCCTTCAAAGGAAAAAAACATAATTGTGACTATTATATCCCGTAAATATCATGCAGACCGCATCGATAGGGTAGGGATGGGGGGGGTCTTCAAGG